GGAAAAAAAAAAAAAAAAAAAAAAAAAAAAAAAAAAAAAAAAACTTATCTCAGTTTTTCTTTGTCTTTCAACAGCTTGACATTTTTGAAGAGCTCAGCCCAGTTACTTTGCTAGGTTTCTCTACTGTCAAGCTCATGAAAAACAAAGATCAACTGAGGAACACTTCCAAATTAAAGGAGACTGAAGAGACATGACAACTTAATTCAGTGCACGATCCTGGATTAGATCTTGGGTCCAGAAATAGGTAAGAAAATCTGAAATTTGAATAAGGTCTGGATATTAGATAACAGAAATTTATTAGTATTAACTTCCTGATTTGGATAACTGTACTGTGGTACTATAAGAAAATATCTTTGTTTTCAGGAAATATACATTAAAGTATTTGGAGGTTAAAAAAATTATGTCTATAACTTACTTTCTCAAGTGTTTCAGAAAAGAACTTTAAGGAGAATGAAAAAGAGAGGGAGAGAGGCTGAAGAAACAAGTACTATAATAACATTTGGGGAACTCCAGGTGAAGAACACATGGGAATTCTTTATACTATTTTTGCAACTTTTTTTTGTTTGTTTTTGCCCAATGAGGGTTATTTGCAACTATTTTTCAAGTCTGAAATTATTTCAAAACAGAAAGTTTCAAAAAAATGTGTGTCAGGTTTTCACCCAAGAACATAATGAATTTAATCTATTAAGGAGAATTTTAGGAAGCACAAGAAGGAAGATCCCAAAGCTGAATTCTATGCTACTTTTTCTATTTAAGTGCTGAGCCATTCATTCAGAGAGAAAAGCAGGCAAATTTTGGGAGGTAATATTACAGGGCCTTAAAGTGAGAAAAAGATAGGAAAAATGGTTAAGATGTAACACAGTTAATTTTTTTAAAAGTATACTCACTGTCCAATGCAGGATGGCTGATTGTCATTAATGAGATGGACTTAGTCAAGGGAGAAGAAATGGCTGATGTACAGTAATTAAATCTCTGCTGCTTAGATCTGTGACATATCTGTGAAGTAAAAAAGTGAAGAACAGGCTCTAAATATATAAACTTACGTTTGCATTTTTAAAAATCTTTTTTCTTTTTATTTTTTTCCCTTTATTTTTTATTTTTATCGTGTTCTCATATTTGTAGATAATCACAAACTTTACATTCAGACACAACCTGGACAACAAGGCAGTGTAGAAGGGGGTTAAGATCACAGGCTCTGTAGTCATACAGACTTGGTTTCAAGTCTGCTCCTGCCACTTAACAGCTGTTCAACTTCAGAAAAGTTATTTAGCCTTTCTGGGACTTAGTTTTCTCATCTGTAAAATGGGGATAAGTAGAATACATATCCTTTACAGTGGTTTTGTATCTCTCACAGCATCTAACAGTGTTTCAAACTTAGTAAGTGCTCAAAAAATATCTGTTGGACGCATAATCAGATAAAAATAATTTCACTGGAAATATCCAACTACAAGGGCTGGCCAGTTAGCTCACTTGGTTAAAGTAGCGGTGCTGATAACACCAAGCACCAAGGTTCAAATCCCCATACCAGCCAGCTGCCCCCCCACCAAAAGATCAAACTACATATAGTACTTGTTCTTTGAAATCTACCTTATATTTCAAATTACCCCTTATATTACTCTGATTTTAAAGAGTTGTAAACTGAGACACAGTTAAAAGATCACAAGCAAAACAGCAGTGCATCTAGAAAAAAGCCTAATCTCTCTCATTTACTTTTCTAAGAGTAGGCTGATTTTACATGAACATGAGGGTGACTGAAATTTGTACACTGGTGAAATTTGCACACTCCCCTTTTGTTTTGAGAAAGCCCATTCTAACTGTTAATCAATTTTAATCGTCATTAATCCCTCCCCTTCACAGCAGGATGAAATCTGCCTCCTTATGACTCACACACGCTGAAAGGAAAGCACTGAAAATCCGTTACTAGCATGAACTCAACTCAGCTGGGCCAAACACATCTAATTATTTAGAGCTAGTTCCATGTGTAACCATGGAATCTGAGGCAAACAGTTGCTATGTTTCAAATACAACTGTGAGGTCTGAAAAATGACCTCAGTGAAAGGCAGAGACTTTCAACAGGGAGTTGGCTGCAGGAGACTTGTCCAGATCAGACACAAGCAGCTCAAATACCCACTCTAAGGTGAAAAACTGTGGGTGAGCAGCGAGTAATGGGAAGGACAAGCACTATAGCCCTGTATAGGCAGCAAAATGTCAACAACTTTATCTAGAAAGACTAAATCATAAAGTCCATTTTAGAAAGACATCAATAGAAATGAACATCATTTACCAAAAGACAAGGTCATCCTGTCAAAATCCTGGAAATATCAATCTCAGAAAAGGTATCACATAAATAATATTAAAATTAAAACTGAGTTACTTCAAAGACATGAAAAGATGTAGCTAGACTAACAGCCAGGAACTCAGAGCTTTGCTCTAATCAGCTAATAGCCAGTTCTGTGACCTTAGGCAAATCCTTTAAAGGGCTTGAAGTGCTCACACAGGAGGGCTTGAGCTAAATCCAAAGGGATATATTGGCTCTAAGTTTATGATTCCATCCCCAAACCCACAATTTTGGTATTTTACCTGGTCTTGCAAATGATTTCCAAACGATTCTATATGCTTTAAATGCAATTTATTTTTCAGATTTTCCTCTGGTTTATTTAGCCTTATCAAGGCTGCACTTAGTAACCACCGAAGAACTATTCCTATATTTTGACTCCTTTTTCTGTTACCATTAGGCTGAATAAATCATTTGCTTCAATAAGCATATTTTCTATAGTATCAGGCCAAAGAGAAATGGAAAAAAAAAAAAAGTGGCAAAATTCTTTCAGGTCTTCAATTTGATTTTTATTAGCCTGAATCTCTTTATTCATCAGGCCTCACATGAGCACAAGTGATACATTCATTACTGAGCACAGGGATACATGCATTACTAAGGTAATCCTTCAGTGCCAAATATATATTTGGTTGTGTCATTACAATGTGGCAGGATACAATAAAGAATTAAATTTCTACACAAACCCCAGTCACCAAATCAAAGAACAGGCATCAACATTTTTGTTTAATCAGAAATGTTTCATCAGATTTCTATCCAGTCACCTATTCAAAAACAGATGTTTTACTTTTTTGCTAAATTAGAGATGTTTTATTTGGAGGAATTAAAATGTATCCCAGAATTCTTTCATAAATTAATCCAAAGTCTCCTAGCCCAAGTGGAAGAAAAAGGACTGAGGGTAAGGTAGGATGCTATAAAAGCATATAATTCAAATTAGCAACTCTAAAACTTCCCAAGGGATTGTAAAAAAGTGGTAAGTGAGAATGAGGCGTCTGAAAACATGAGACCTAAGAAAAAGTCACTTGATTTGGCAGACAAGGAACTCCATGACCTTCAAGACAGGAGTATCAAGAGAGCAGTAGCAGTGAAAATTTAAAAAGAAGGCAGGGACTGTAGATGTTTTCTCAAGAATTCTGGCAGGGATACAAAGCAGAGAGAATCAACAGTCATTTTTTGGACAGTGTGGTAAGACAAAGTATTTTTTTTCTAGGAAGGAAAAACTTGGGATATGTTTTAGAGAATTGGGAAATTTAATAATGATATGTAACACACTTCAAGACTCCTCTTACTATTGAGGTGGTAAACGAAGGCCTCAAATAAGAAGAAACTCAATTTAATATCCTGGATACTCTCCTAATCCTAAAAAGTTTGCTTTGATAAAATATTTAAATCTATAAGGATTAATGGTATTCTTAAATGAAGTGGTAATAACTAGCTTTAATGCTACATTGTGCCTATTATATAATGGGTAAGTAATCACAGGTACTAGCTTTATACTTACAGAAGACTTGCCTTCTATGTTCCTGGTATGTGGTCATAATTTCGGAAATAAAATATTTTTTTTCCAAATTAGCAATATTTCAGCCTTACCTGTTGACCAAACATCCTACATTCCCTCTGGTCTGACTCCAGATCCTCTTCTGAAAGTGACATCAGAGAGTCACCTTGTTCCTCACCACCGAAATGGTGTCTGAGCTCTTTGGTGTTGGCAGAGTTTACTTCTAGAGATGAGGTTGGCTTGTTTCCAATACCAGCTCCTTCTGTCAAGCCTTCTAGACTGAAACTGAACACAGATCACAAAAGTTAATTCATTCTACTTCTTAGTCTCAGAAAGGGAGGATAAAATATCCCTTCAGTTGTATCTCCCTTGCTCATATATTTTCCATGTCAGCTAGAAAAACTGTCTATGAGGACACAGCACAAATAAGTACCACCTACCTTTCCCCCACAGGTCTTGGAATGCTGAGAAAGAATAGTACACCTACATTTTCTTATCTCATTCAACTTATCCAAATGTTTTATCAGCTAAAAATCATTTTCTCAGATTTTTTTCAATATACCATAGGGAAAGACCATATGTATCTTATTGATCTTTTATATATGTGTGTTTTTCCTTGATCTGATGCAATTAATCTTTGCCAGAATCTAACTCTGCTAATGCCAAAAAATTAAATGTCACAGAGAACACATGAGCTTAAAAACTTTCAGAAGACAAACCAGGTGACTTACCCTTGTCTCCATTAAGTGGACCTTTATAACTTTATAGATATGCTTCCATTCCAGAAAACCCAAGTTTTACTCATGAGCATTAACATCTGTGCACACCTGTCCAGACAACTGCTAACAGGCTTCCTGAGAATTGTTAGTTGCACACATAATACTTTTAAAAAACAAAAGCTGAAAAGCTAATAAGTCTAAGAGTTTTAATTTTTTTTTGTCTTGGTATTGGTAAAGGGGAAAAAAAGCAAAAAGGATTTGGTGCTTTAAATGGGATTCATGGGATAAAGATTCTGTGGTTCACAGAGTGGAAAGCATTTTCTGTAAGCAGGAGGCTAGAGAGAGGGGTTATTAATCTATCCCCCTTTGTACTGCTAATAGAATAATTTACATCTGTTATAACTGTAGTGGAAACTTTAAAAAAAATAAGATCTCAAAATATAGGTGTAGCTGACCATGTCCTCAGTTAATAACCAGCTGGAACTGTAGGTGAAGGTACACTGAAGCTATTTAGTTACTTGAGCTCAGGGAAAACTGTACAGTTAATTGATACAATTAAGTTCATACATAGCAGTCCACAGCTGTTTATATTTGCCTTTTTTTTGTTTCACAAATTACTTATGAACTGAAACCATGTGTATGTTTTCTCCAATGGGCAAATTAAACAATGGATTTGTTTTCCTACTTCAGTACAACAATAGAAATCATGCCCAACTACCAGTAAATGTCTCTGTAAAACTCATTTTCAATATTAAGGACAAAAAAGAGGGGCTGAGTGAAGAACAAACTTAGTTTTGTATTATGAATTATTTGAAAAGCCTGAGAAAACCAGATCTATGCTTACCGCAAAACTTAATCCTGAAAATGTTTCAGTAATTAAGTCTGGCTGCTTAGCTGAGAGAAGAATATGAAATGATGAGGAGTCTCTGAATTTGGAATTTAAAGAGATTGGTGGATTCGGAAGCATAACAAAAATCAGTGCATCTTATATACTGCCTTACTTCTCTCATTGCTTTCCTCAGGAGCTGGGAATCCCTAGGATCTGGGAATTACAGTAGACCAAAACAAAGTGTGGTGCAGTCTACCATACCACGGAGACAAGTCTGTGAAGAAAACACCAAATCTACAGCCACTCGAGACAAACATGATGCACCATGGTACATCATCCAACTCCTAGGCAGCCAGCACCCCTTCAACTGAGTTAGTGATGCCCACAGCAGAGGCAACAGAACACTCACAGACAAAGCAGGCTATCCATATGTATTCTAGCCACACAGAAGCCAGCTCCAAGCCAAAAGCCCAGATGCCTTATTTTATGTTTCCCCATGTGATAGTTGGACATGTAAAGATACTGTACCTTCTGTAATTAAAGTCAGCACTCAGGGCAGCAGAGTATTGCACACCAGAGGGGCACCAGCTCATACTGGGGATGACATCAAAGGCAGAAAAAGAAATGGAGGGAGAAAAGAGGAAACAGGGAGGGGGTTACTAGGTTAAAAAGAAAGGGCATAGTTAGAGACAGATGGATTTATTTAATCATCAAAAAATTTAGGAACGTATCAGTGAGAATTTAGAAAAAGGTTAGAAGAACCATGGAAACTTAAAATTGTTTTACTGATGCCCATTCTAAATAATGTTTTAGTGAAGACTATGTGAACTCTCTTCACGGGATAACCAGTCCCACCTGAAACCCTACAATTCCTTCTCTAGTGAACTCTTGGCAAAGAGCTCACCCCACACGTGGCTTCCACCTCAAACATTCTCAGAGGGGTATTTCAACTTCCACTATTAGGGACAATCTCTGTATCCACCCCACAGCTCTCAAATCACTCTTACTCACAATATCTCTCTAATCCTGGACTAAAAGGAACAATGACAAACTGCATTGGGGTGGGCTTCACTGAGTTATCAGTTTTTTTCATGTGTTTCCATTAAGTATCCATCTAAATCAGACAATTTATAAATCTTTCAGGATAAGAAAACTTGGTCAACACATCCATCTTTAAACCCTACTCACTGGGTTCTAACGCTAAAGATAAAGCATAACAATGGTCACATTTAGCTGTATTTTAATGATAATGAAGTACTTTTTTTCTTTAAAAGAAAAAAATAATAATTCTATGGTACTGAATTAGAATTATGCTTTAATTTTACGTTTGTATCCATTTTCTCCACAAGACTAAAAAAAAAAAATCCATTTGATTGTCTACTTCCTTGAGTATCCTAATACTGATCATTTATTCTCAAGCAGCAGGGACAGAAAATCTGAGGTTGGAAATGCTAAGTAAATATAACCAGCTAAAAAAAGCACCAATTCAAAATATCAAGTACTCTGTAAAGGGAACTGCATCAATAGATCCAGATTTTTGATTAACAAAAGCTATCATTTAAAAAGTACACTGCTATTATTTGGGCCTTAACGTTCTAAGTGATGTGCTTCAGTTTTCAGAAGGGGGTTAAAAACAGAGCTGAACAACAGTGAAACTACTCAGCTCCCTCATGAATTTTGCAGACAGGAAGGCATGCAGACACCAAGAACGCCTCACCTGAATACATCTAATAAATCTGTTTTGTTGTCGGGGAGGTTTTGGCAGAGGAAAGGAGACAAAGAAAATGATGGGAGGATATAAGAGCTACCCCTATGGTTCTTTTAAAAGTAAATCTTTAAAATATCACTTAAAAATAATTTAAACAGTATAAAACATTTTAAATCAGGTTACATTAATAATATAAAATTCACAAATACAAAAGCAGAAAGTAGAAATACAAACTGAGACACATCCCTAGTCTGTTAAGTGGAATCAGACTGACAATTTTTGAGTAGAAGATACAATTTATGGGGGGATGGGGGGGGACAGTTTACAAACACACACACAAGACTCAGAAGTCCAGTTCTTAAAATCTTAAAATTATTAACTTCATAACCCCCCCCCCCCCAGTTAGTTGGGGTAATACTTAAAGGTTCTTTGTCTTTATTTTGAGATTTAGGAAGTACTAGATTTCTTTAAAAATAAATATCCCTCTTCCCACCTTTTAATACTTATTGGAATATTTCAATTTCACAAAATTTTAAATTATACATCATGTTCTTCCTACAAAGAAAAGTTTCACTAAGGGTGAAACTGTACCTGAAGTTGTTTATGACACTTCTATCTATATGCTAATTTGGACTGCATCCAGCACCCTCCCATCTTCCACCTTGTCATCAAATGCATGTTTTTAATACATTCATATTGAACAACTTAATAGAGAGCCAAATATTATCTCCAAAAGTTTTTGATACCTTCTACTGGAAAAGACATTTAACAACTTGTACCCCTGAAGAGCCTCTTAACCAGTATGGTTATCTGAGATCCATGGGAAATCTGAATTTAAGCTTAATTTTTTGCCTAAAATCTGGAATTAAAGGAACCATCCACTTAAAAAAGATAAAGTAGGAAAGAAAGATCACTACTTGCCTGCTTCCCAACAAACAGGTTCAGCTAATAGTTAAAAATACCTCTTTACAAAATGTCTCTTAGTATGAGAAGCTTCCAGTAATACAACCACAATTTCTGGATTTCTAAATGCTTTCCAAACGAGGGAAGAAAAGATCACTAAAGACTTCTGAATGATAAAAGTAAAACAAAACTCAGCATTTGGAAAATTCAAAGCAAGTCAGCATTTTTTGACAAGCAATAACTTCTTAGCTTATAAATCATTTACTTTTAGCTTCAAAATTTTACCTGACAAGTAAGGAAGGAATTGAAAGACTGGAAGATCAACTTATGCTCCTTACTTGCTTTACAAAATGACTATACCAACAGTGAAAGGGAAACCGCCAGGTGGCCTAGTAATAAAGTCTTTCATCATATTATTAAAGAATGTGTTGAAAATATTTTAGGGCCTATGCATGAGTACACACTTATTTCTGGTTCTTCTTTTCTGGCGAGAGGAAAAAAAAGTACTCCCCAGGTCCATTAAATTAAATAGGCACAATATAGACAATTCTTTGAATTCTCTTAGAAAAAGTTGGGTGAGAACCTGTTATCAAAGTCATCTAAACACCAATAAGCGCAAGATGGAAAAAATATCTTTAAAAAAATTTTTTAAAGAGATAAAGGTAGACTAGGAAAAAAAACTCCAGATTAAAGAAACCATTTCATATGAAATGGACATCAGCAATTAATAAGTACCTATATTTTATTTGCCTGAGTTATACATGACATTATTTAAATAAAGACTGTCCAATCATGGATTAAGCAGAATGAGATGATTGTTAGTATATGCTCAGAAGTGACATGGTTAGTTCATCAAGTTAGTGAACTCTGTACCTTCTCCTATGAATGGGAGGTCTCCTGACAACATCCCCAAGAACTCGCATTGAACTGAAAATGAATGGTGGAAGAGGTCAGTGTTGCAGGTGAAACAAAATGGGATACAAATGCATGAAACATACAGACACCATACTGGCAAAAGAGATAATTCCCAAAGAGACATAGCATAGGAGGTAAGAGAATGAAAGAATATGGAATGAGAAAAATATCAAAACTAACAAGTCCTGACAATTTCTGTGGAGGACTACTTTGCTTCCTCCTTGCTCTGAGGAATTAATTAGATGACAAGTTTTAAAGTTTATTAAATTATAAAAGTAAAAGGATCATAAAAAAATTACCATTCAAAACTTTAATAGGGTTTTCTTTCTTAAGACTTTGAAATTCAGGTTACACTGTATGCAGGTAATACCATAAGAATTTGTCAAACAAATTAAAGTGATAATTAAAACCTAACTCTCATTACATTATGTCCAGAGGTATTAAGACAGTGGTGCTAGGTAATCCTTAATGCTAAGTTCAAACAGGAGATCCCATGACATCATGCAAGTTGAAAGGTTCTAGTCTCAATTCAGTCTTAAGATCACCATGTCATTTTGGGTAAATCATTTAATCTGAGCTTCAATTTCCTCATCTGAGCTACATGATCCATATAGTCACATGAAATTCTGAAATCAATTCATGACAAAGGGATTCATAGTGTTATATAAAAAAATGGATTAAGTATAAAATAAACCCTCATTCTTTGATACTGTTATTGAAGACAAGGATGTCCTGTCAAGAAGTTACCCTTGTTTCAAGAAGACAACTCTGGCTGTAGGGATCATTCCCCATGTCCTTATATTTTCTATTGTTGTGAATGCTAAAAAATTACAGCATGAATAAAATTGGGAAGGAAAGTGTTTAGAAATTGCTTTTTATATAACCTAGGATTTCAAATGTATATAAAAAACTACACAGCAGATAAAGCATATTGCTTATTCTTAAGGTTAGTATCCTGAACTCAACCATAGAATAATATGGAATTGTAGAAAGAGCATGTGACTAAGAGCCCAGAAACCTGGATTTTACTGACCTTGGGTAAATGATATAAACTATTGGTACCAGTGTTCTCATCTGCAAACATGGGGATAATATCACCTGACTCATGGAGAGGACTGAAAAATTACATGAGATAATGGGTTATAAAAGAAGTCTGAAAAGATTAGCAAATTAGGAAAGTGTAATAAGGTATTACAGTGAAGTGTATGAAGGCAGAGACTTTGTCTTGTTCACCTTTGTATATCTAGAATCTAGAACAGTGAGTGCCTGGCACTTAGTGGGTGCTCAGTTTATGTTGGTTGATGAAAATAAATGAGTGAATGAATGTGATTAGATTACATGTACTCACAGCCATAATATTATAAGGAAGTTGAATAATAAGCAAATAATAGCTCCAACTGAACTGTTTATATCAGTTGTTTTGAAACAACAGTCAGCCTCCTCCCTTAGTTGCTCTTCCTCATTAAGAAAGTAGCTTTGGAATAAGCAGTCCCTTGTAAATACAGTAGATACTACGGCACTCATTCTTCCGAGCTAAACCCACCTGCTTAAATTCATCTAGGCAGCCAGTGGTCGGAAGCCAAATCTAAATTATCTTCTTATAGCCTGCTTCCAAACTAAAGGACTAAGACTTCTAAAAAGTACCCAAGACCATAGGACACAAAGCAGAATACCAATAATTTAATGACATGTAATAAGTCTTATGCTCTCTTGAGGATTAAACACTGATAATTTAGACTTACCAAAACTTTCTGTATTAGAAACACAGCTTTAATTCTTGGGAAGCACTTTGAAAGACTTGGATGTGTTAAGACAGCAAGACTTCATGTTTATTTCTTAATTCAAATTGCCATGAAACTATTCCCTCCAATATTTTCTAATTCATGAATTTCATTAACAAATCTGGCAAGAATAAACATTACCATTCATGAGATGCTCACTATACAACAACCATATTTCACTTTATTATTATAAATATTCTGCAGGTATTTTGCAGATGAGAAAATTAAAGCTCAGAGGAGTCAAGTGACTTTCCCAAGGTCACCTATATAGAAAATTATAGTGCTAGAGTTTGAACACAGATTTTCCTGATTCCAAAGCCCATTCTTTCTTCTATATCATGGTATCTCCTAAAATCTTTTATCAACAATAATACTAAATCAGAAACTTCTCAAAAGCAAGCAGACACAGATTGAGACACTAAACAAATGGCCTCCCATCTCACCTCCGCTGGTTCATTTCTGCATCACTGGCTGCATTCTTCCCAGGACCCCAGCTGTGCCTTCGGAAAGGGGACAGAGAGCGCATGGAGCTTCTCAGGACAGAGCACTTTGCAGGCACTTCAGTGATGCTGTCCATCTCTTCCTCTTCCATTTCACCTGAGCCAGCAGGTTCACTCTCACTTTCTCGACCCTCAGCTCCTACCCCTTGGCTGTAGAAGCCATCAAGGCTCTGCTGATCTCTGGACCTGTTCAACTTTGAAATCTGGGTGAGTGACACATCACTGCCAAGAGAAGAATGTCGATCCAGAGAAGCTGTGTCATCAGTGGAAGAACTGGATCCAGTGATATCACAGGCCAACTGCTCTTCCTCAGGCTGTAATGGAGAGAAAGCATGCATGGTTGGAACTGGCAGGACCAAGCAGATAGCCTCTGTTATTCCAGATCAAGCCAATGGCTTCATCATTGTTCCGAGATGGGCAAGACCGTAACTGGCTTCAAACAAACATAGACTTGGTTTTTGTTAAAAGCATGATAACAGTTTGATTCAAATCCCCTCGGCCTCCAGTAAAGAAATGCTCTAGGTCTATCTTCCTTGTATCCTCTTACTAGAGGTACTAGACTAGAAGTACATCATTTTTTCCTTCTTACAGAGAAAAAAAATCTAACAGATCAGTTCTTTCAGTCAATAGAATCAACTGAAATGAAGGGAACCCATTTGTCTCTGGAATTTCTGCTTCATGAAAACTCAAAATTCATATTACATTAGGTTTAATTTTTTCCTCACAAGCTTTAATTGAAAACAAAGCAGTCTGCTTGGTTACAATAATAATGTGCTGAAGTTAATGTTCCAAAACCAAGTCTGGGATTATTTTTAGTGCCCTTTTAAAAAATGCAGAATAGCTTATGACCCCACCTAAAGTATGTCACAAATGCCTAAACACCTGTAACAAATACCTAAATGGAAGAAAGTTGTCCCCTTTTCTCATTTCACTGAGAGCTGGTTGAGTGTTATGCAGCCAAATCATACATAAAATAATCAGTTCTGGAAATGGGGGAATCAAGATTTGAACCCAGATCAACTTCAACTCAAACTGCCCTATATTTTGTTATCTCAATCATCTTTTGAAAATCCTGCAAGAATAAAATCTCAATGTCAGTATCAGAAAAGTCCCTTTACTGGGTCACATTGTAAAATAAAGCCATGCTTCACAAAGTGAATTCTAAAACAGGGTTGGTATTTTTTCCTTTTTGTCTTTTTTCGTGTTCGGCAACGGATCGCAACCCTCAGTGTCACGCCCGTACTGGACCGGGACCGGCAACGGGATTGCAACCCTCGGTGTTGCCCCCGCTCCCCGCTCAGCCAGTGAGCGGCCGGTCTGTGTGTGGGATCTGAACCCTCGGCGGGAGCGCTGCCGCACTTCCCAAGCGGCGCACTGTAGCAGTGCGCCACCGGGCCGGCCCCAGGGTTGGTATTTTTTCCTTTTTGTCTTTTTTCGTGTTCGGCAACGGATCGCAACCCTCAGTGTCACGCCCGTACCGGACCGGGACCGGCAACGGGATTGCAACCCTCGGTGTTGCCCCCGCTCCCCGCTCAGCCAGTGAGCGGCCGGTCTGTGTGTGGGATCTGAACCCTCGGCGGGAGCGCTGCCGCACTTCCCAAGCGGCGCACTGTAGCAGTGCGCCACCGGGCCGGCCCCAGGGTTGGTATTTTTTCCTTTTTGTCTTTTTTCGTGTTCGGCAACGGATCGCAACCCTCAGTGTCACGCCCGTACCGGACCGGGACCGGCAACGGGATTGCAACCCTCGGTGTTGCCCCCGCTCCCCGCTCAGCCAGTGAGCGGCCGGTCTGTGTGTGGGATCTGAACCCTCGGCGGGAGCGCTGCCGCACTTCCCAAGCGGCGCACTGTAGCAGTGCGCCACCGGGCTGGCCCCAGGGTTGGTATTTTTTAAAATAAAATTACTACTTTTTTTTAAGTTGATGAGAGATTGATGTGGCATTCTAAAGGGTCCTTTTTCATGAGGCCACTCTCCACAGAGAAGGAAAATGTAAATGGTCATAAACTTCTAGACTATCTTAGCTTCCTTACTATACTGGGTGGAATAGGGTCCTCTTCAACTATGTGTCCTTCTCAGAATGTGATCTTATTTGGAAAGAGTGTCTTTGCAAATGTAATCAGTTAAGATGGGGTCATATTGGAGTAGGGCGGGCCCTAGATCCAATGAGTGGAGTCCTTAATAAGACAAAATACACAGAGAGAAACATGTGAGAATGCTATGTGAAGACAGAGACAGAGATTGGAGTGATACATCTACAACCCGAGGAATGCTAGGAAGGAGGCATGAACAGATTCTCAAAGCTTCCAAAAAGAAAGCAGCCCTGATGACATGTTGATTTTAGGGCCTCTAGCCTCCAGAACAATGAAAGAATAAATTTGGTTGTTTTAAGCCACCCAGTTTGTGGTAATTTGTTACAGTGCAACAGCAAACTAATATACTCACCCAAAGCTGCCTAAATTTCTAATTCTCAAAACAATACCAAGGAACAAGCAGAATGGTCATCAATAAAGCAAAATGTATGACAGGCCTGTTCTAAAACACTCAAGAAAGGCTTCAAAGGGAATAAAAGCTCTGAGTTAAAGTTTCCCTTTACCCATTTATTATATATTCTTCTTACACATTAGCACTTCACAGCTTGGAAATTATTCAGACAGTAAAACAGGTGCTTCTTCACTTTGGCACCTGGTCTTGTAAAGACATTGCCTTGAAAAAAAGATCCTGCTATTTCTCTGGTACTTTACGAATCTGAAACTCATAAAACAAGAATAAATCTACCTTTTTGTGAGATATTAAGACAAAATGGGAAAATCTTTAGTGGACTATTTATACATATTTTAAAGGAAAGACTTGTCTAAAATAATTCTCAATATAGCCTTTTTTCCTGATGTGTGCTACATTTCCTGGTGTGTGCTTTTAACTCTGATCTCACTGAAATATGAATAGGAAGTCTTCACTGTAAATACATGATTTTTTCAGTCTTGCATTCCTGAAAAAAAAAAATAAAGTTCACACAGTATGATATTCTTATACTCAAGTATTTTTACTGTACCATTCAACTCATTATGAGCTGGTGGTTATTACTTGAAAAAGGAAAAACAGGGCAAAACTCAGAACTGAGCTCAACTATTAAAGACTAAGGCAAATGATTTTCTTTAATCTTGGGCTGAATCTAAAGAAGGATCTAAATTACTTTTCCCCAAGACTTTTAAGTGTTCTTAAAAAAGTTTCCCAACTTCATCGTGTCTTTACACTATCTTTGCAGAGCAGAAAATAGTCAGTGGCTTAACCAGAAATGAAATCCAGAATACACTCCTGACTTTTCTATAGCTACATTTGTGACTAAAGATAGCCATTTTTTCATTTTGCCTTTCTATCTAATATGAAAGACTTAAATAGATGATCTTGAGATATAAAGAGGTTAGAAGTTAATATAAGGCCTGTTGATAGGTACTATCTATTTAAAACATGGATGACAGGCCTGGCCAGTTAGCTAAGTTGGTTAGAGCACAGCCTTGTAGCACCAAGATCAAGAGTTCAGTTGTCCTACTGGCCAGCAGCACCGCCCTCCCCCAAATCATGGATGACAGTGGGGAAAAAAAGCAGTGTTTTTTAAACATTTGAATTTTTTGAATGAAACTTCCTCTCCAGTCCCTGAATCTATTAGTGCTGAAATTCTTAGAGAACTCTGTCAAATAAGAGAACCATTCCTTCTACTTTCCCTCTCTGCACTAAAAAAGTACTGGGCTTTAGGAATGCTGTTTTTCCATTTATATATTAGAAGGAAAGAACAGTTGTGGCTTCTGATACATAACAGAATGTTCCATGCCTAAGATCTAAAGTGCCTCTTAAAGAGTTCTCAAGTTATGTCAGTCTTTCTTCAGAGAGATCATTTATCTTAAATTGTCTGCTAATTAAACGACTTTCAGGGACTTAAAATATTACCCTTGATTTTCTGGAGAAATGGCAGTAATTTTTAACTACAACATCTGATTTACATGGAGTTAAAACTGGGTGGTATTTCTAGTCTTATAAGCAGATGGCTAAAACATAATTCTCTGGTAAATACAAATTAATTTTTTTCCTTAAGACGCAGTTTTTAGGTAGAGACGTATTAAGACTTGGTTAGGACAAAGTAGTAGAAGAAACCTAGAAAGGTGGACATAAGAGAGAAGGAAGAGGGTAGGAGTTATGTATGTGAGAAAGAACATAATGGGCAAACTAAGGCTGAGTTTATACGTGAAATTAACACATGAAACCGTCCTCCCCTGAGTTTTCATAATTGATTTTCCCACTGCATATGGGAGGATGGAAGCACACAAAAAAGTATCATTTCTACCATCAGCTCCTTTTTCCTTAGAGCTCATATAATCTTGAAAATCTGCAAAAAAGCATCTGGCTGGCAAAAGTTCACAAGATTCAAAGACAGAATGCTTGCAAAGAATGGTCCCTCTAAGCAATTAATTTTTTTGGCTGGCCAGAATGGGGATCCAAATCCTTGACCTTGGTGTTATCAGCACCTCACTCTAACCAAGTGAGCTAACCAGCCAGCCCACAAGAATCAACTTTAAACGGATAGCTCTGGCTTTAGAAATAGCAGTGGAGTGGATGGAGTGACCCAAGGATACTGTTCTGCTTAATTACAGGTCAAATAAACTAGGGAGATTTGAATTACAAATAATTATATAGCTAAAAAATTAATAAAAAGGTCTAAATAAAATGATGATGCTGTCTACATAAAGCCTGAGAGACTATTACTATTATTAAATATATGTGCAAAATAACTATGACATAAATCTGAATAATTATTTACTGGCTAACCATCACACATAGGGCTCTATGCTAAGTGATTTAGATATATTTTTTAGTCCTTACGACCATTGTGTTTAGTACATATTCTTTTTTTTTTTGTGACCGGTAAGGGGATCGTAACCCTTGGCTTGGTGTCACCTGCACCCCGCTCAGCCAGTGAGCGCACCAGCCATCCCTATATAGGATCTGAACCCGCGGCCTCGGCGCTCCTAGCGCTGCACTCTCCCGAGTGAGCCACAGGGTCGGCCCTTTAGTACATATTCTTATTCCCATTTTATAGGTGAGAAAACTGAGGTTCGGTAAGGTTAAATAATAAACTCAAGACTCTACTGTAATTGGTCTAGGGTAAGGGCCAGGCATACCTTATTTATTTATTTACTTACTTATAATTAAGCTCTCCAGGTGATTCTAGGTATAGCTAGGATTTAATAACAAAGCTTTTATTAAAATATTTAGAATATAATTTAGATAGATCCTAGTCCTAGATGTAAAAGCTAAAACTATAAA